CAGGTTTAAGTTCTGATCTTTCTCTAAATGCTTTCTCTACCTCTACTTCTTCTTCTTCTTCGGGTGGAGAGGTAAGCAACAGGAATGTTGTGGAGGCTGCATCGCATCAACAGAGAGGTATTATTGGGACTTCAAATTCATGGCTTGATGGGTTAGAGGTGGATGTCTCAAAGGTGACAACTGGGAGTATGGGTTTTTTCAATGGAGTGACAGTTTGTGTTGGGAAAGATCTGCATTTTAAATTGAATAATGACTCTACTGTAGCTTTGCTTAAAGAGCTTCGAATCTTTGCTGCGGTTGAAGGTTTGAACAGGTTATCATCTGAGCATGAGGAGACTTTCCCAACCCCACCCAAAGAAGTTGTTGCTTCGGAAACAGAGGGGAATTTACAGTTAGGAGTTGTTCCTTCTCAGCAGCACTGTTCTAATGATTCCTTTTTCGGGGCAGACTTTGATCATGCAGACTTTGAACATGCTGAAGTGGATTTAATGGAACCTTTGGCAGTTGTGCGGCCAGATTGTTTGGAGACGACCAAAGATTTGGGTATGGAATGGGTTATTGAGAACATTGGAGCAGTAAGTGAAGCTTTGGGTGTCTTTGCAGAAGGTTATGAAGAATAAACCTTGTCTATTCTTCACGAAATTGTTGCAGGAAATGGTAGTACTGAACCAAATCGTGACACAAAAGAAGTTAAAGTCAGAAATACATATCGGAAAGGCGAACAGGAAGTGAAGAATCTGATTTCTTGTGTTAATTATGACGGGAAGAATGGGATGACCAAAGAAAGGGGAAGAACCAGAAGTGGGAAACGGGGAGGAGGAGAATTGATTGTTTTTGGTTCTTAATGAAGCTACGACTTATAACATGGAATGTTCATGGTCTTAATGATCCGAAAAGAAGAAGAGTTGTTAAGGTTGCTTTAAGGAAGTGGAGTGCTCATGTTGTTTGCTTACAGGAAACTAAGATGGCTGATATTACTATCGAGATTGTCAGGAGTCTTTCGGGAGGTAGGTTTGTGGACTGGGAAGTGTTAAATGCAACAGGCACTTCAGGTGGTATCCTACTCATGTGGGATCGAAGATGGTTGTCAAGTCTGAATTGTTGGAAGGGTATTTTCTATGTGTCTTGTATGTTTCAGAAGGAGGAAGACAATTTCAGGTGGGTGTTTTCGGGCGTTTATGGGCCTGTTATTGATAGTGATAAACCAGTCATGTGGGAAGAGCTTTGTCATGTTAAGGATTTATGGTCATTGCCTTGGTGCTTAGGTGGGGATTTTAATTGTGACAGGTCCCCATTTGAGAGATCCACCAGGGGCAGGTGGTCTTCAGAAATGACCATGTTTTCAGAATTCATTGACAGTAATTTCTTTATTGACCTACCATTGGAAGGAGCGGCCATTGCTTGGTCTAATGGTAGGGAACCGGTTACTTTTTCCCGTTTGGATAGATTCCTGATTTTCGGGGCATGGGAAGAGCATTTTCCAGATGTCTCTCAGGCTGTGTTGGTTAGAGTCACATCTGATCATGTGCCTCTTGTTTTAGATTGTGGTGGCTTGAGTTCTAGACGCACTCCTTTCCGTTTCGAAAACATGTGGCTTAGATCCGAGGACTTTCAAGGGAAGGTTCAGTCTTGGTGGGAGAAAGCGAATTTCACAGGCTCTGCTAGTTATGTGTTAGCTAGCTAGAAAGTTTCAGTTTCTTAAAATTGAGTTAAAAAGGTGGAATAAGGAAGTGTTTGGGAATCTTGAATGGAAGAAGAATAGAGTTCTTGCTGATATTGCTGAGCTTGATTGTCTTGATGAGGTGGGACAGAGTGGGGAATCTTTACGCTCTAAAAGAGCCTCTTGCCAAGCGGTTTTTGCTGAGATTACCCATATGGAGGAGATTTCGTGGCGTCAGAAGTCTCGGGCTTTGTGGTTAAAAGATAGGGATCGAAATACAAAATTCTTTCATAGACTTGCTAATGCACACAGAAGATGTAACCACATCAGGCATATCCGGGTCAATGGTTCTGAATTGTGGAGGGAGGACGATGTGCGCGGGGGAATCGCTTCTTTTTATCAGCAGCTTTACACTGAGACTTTGGATTGGAGACCTACTCTTAACGGTCCTCCATTTAATTCTATTTCTGCATTGGATAGTGATAGAATTGAGATTCCATTCACGGAGGAGGAAGTGATTAAGGCACTTTCTAGTTGTAACAAGGACAAAGCTCCAGGACCTAATAGGTTTACTATGCGCTTTCTTAAGGAGAGTTAGGAGGTGGTGCGAGCTGACGTGATGGGCACTTTTCAAGATTTTTATTCTCATGGTACATTTGAGAAGTCTCTAAACGCATCTTTTATTGCAATCATTCCTAAAAAGGGCGGTGCCTCTGATATTAAGGACTTTCGGCCAATTAGCTTAATTGGATGTTTGTATAAGCTTATTGCCAATGTTCTTGTTACCAGGATGAGTAATGTTTTGGATGGTCTCATTTCAGAATCACAAAATGCTTTTGTTGGTGGAAGACAAATTTTGGATTCTGTTCTTATTGCTGGGGAATGTGTTGATTCTAGATTAAGAAGTGGGGTTCTTGGCGTTTTGTGCAAGCTTGATATTGAGAAAGCTTATGATCATGTTAATTGGAAGTTTGTTCTGTATCTGCTTCGAAGATGGGGTTTGGTGATAGGTGGATAAAATGGATTGAAACTTGTATCTCGTCAGTTATGTTTTCTGTTCTCGTGAATGGTTCACCTGCGGGTTTTTAGGCTAGCTCGCGTGGTCTGCGACAAGGAGATCCATTATCGTCTTTTCTTTTCCTCATTGTAATGGAAGGTCTGAGCAGGTTAATAAGAAAAGCGGAAGATTTGGGTTACATCAGGGGGTTCAGAGTTGGCAGAGATGTTGAACATCAGATGCAAATTTCCCATTTATTATTCGCTAATGATACTTTGGTATTTTGTGATGATGAAGTTTCTTAACTCAGATATCTGAGGTGCAATCTCGCTTGCTTCCAAGCAGTCTCTGGGCTAAAGATTAATGTCAGAAAGAGTGTGCTTGTCCCAGTGGGGGATGTTCCAGATATATCCTCCTTAGCTGCTGTTTTAGGATGTGGAGTTAGTTCCTTTCCTCTTCCTTACTTAGGATTGCCTTTGGGAGTTTCTTCTACACGAGTTGGGAATTGGGATCCAGTGATTAATAGATATGAGAAAAGATTAGCAGGATGGAAAAAGCAGTATCTTTCTAAGGGGGGGAAAGTCACACTCATTAAGAGTACTCTCTCATTTCTTCCTACCTATTTTTTATCTTTGTTTCAAATTCTATGCTCTGTTGCTGAAAGGATTGAAAAAACTCAGAGGGATTTTCTCTAGGGTGGTAGGGGTGAGGAGTTTAAGTATCATCTTGTTAATTGGGATCAAGTCTGCCAACCGTTGAGGTTAGGTGGGTTAGGCATTCAAAAAATCATTCCTTTTAATCGTGCTCTCTTGGGAAAGTGGTTATGGAGATTTGGAAGGGAACGCCATCGACAGTGGAGAAGAGTTGTCTCGTGTCATTTTGGTGAGGAGAGCGGGGGCTGGTCATCTCTTCTAGTCACTATTACGTGAGGCGTTGGTGTGTGAAAATTCATTCGGAAGGGTTGGGATGTTTTCTCCACACATATTAGATTCAAAGTTCGGGATGGCAGACATGTTCGTTTTTGGGAGGACCTTTGGTGCGGCGATCAATTGCTATCTCACTCTTTTCCTAGGCTTTACAGTATTGCAGCAAATAAGTATGTTTACGTGATTAATTGTTATCAACTTGATAACAATGGAGTTACGTGGGATGTGTGGTTTAGGCGGCCCTTTCAGGATTGGGAAATGGAGGAAGCTTGTGTTTTTTTGGATACGTTGTATAGACAGAAGGATATTGGGAGTGGGTGTGATGATATTTTGTGGCTTCCTTTAGCTCATGGTCGGTATGGTGTCCGCTCTATGTTCATCTGTCTGTCCAATTTTGTTGCTCCTGTGTTCCCTTGGAAGTCTGTTTGGTGCTCTAAAGCTCCTCTTCGAATCGCATTCTTCGTTTGGACTGCCACATTGGGGAAGATTTTGACATTGGACAATTTGAGAAAGAGAGGCAACATCATTGTTAATTGGTGTTGTTTATGTAAAGCTGATAGTGAATCCGTGGATCACATTCTTATGCATCGTCCTGTGGCATTTGATTGTTGGAGTTTTATTTTTAGCATGTTTGGCGTTTTTTGGGTAATGCCTAAGCACTCTTTTCAATTGATTAACGCTTGGAAAAGGTGTCATGTCAAAGAACAAGCTCGGGATTATTGGAAGATTGTTCCACATTGTGTCTGGTGGTGTCTGTGGCGTGAGAGGAATAATAGATCATTTGAAGAAAAAGAATCGTCTTTAGTTAATTTAAAAATTCATATTCTTCGTTCTTTGTTCTCTTATGTAAGAAGAAGTTCATGCTCCTCGATTGATGATTTCTTTGATCTCTTGGATTCCATTGGTCCTTAGACCTTTTTTCTTGTATTAGGGACACGTTCCCCTTTTGAACGTTTTTCTAATATATTTTTACTTATCAAAAAAAAAAAATCCCTTAAAGTCCGGGGCATAACCCATTACGCCAAATAGACCAAAAATAAGACTCCAGCAGTCATGAGCCACGGTACAATGCAAAAGAAGGTGATCCACAGAGTCCATCATAATTACACAGACAACACCAGATTATGAAAACAACAGATATGATTATTCATATTTTTGACAGGATATTTTCTGTGTGAGACATGACTCTGCCCAAGATGGCAATGTAGTTGTTTATGATATATTGGAGTTACATTTTTCATTACAACCTAGGATCTCATATCTAAAGTCCCAATGCAATCAATTTATCCAAGTAGATTTTGTCATATAGTAGTAAGCTTGTAAATAATAAGGTGGCAAGTAATAACTATGCATGCTAAATGCATGTGGGTCAAGACAGAGTGGGTAATGATCAAACAATTCAAGGGCACTAACTCACCTGTGATAATAATGCGGCGTTGATGCCTATATCAAAGAACTGCAAGAATATGCTGATAGTCATCGTCACAGGATCAACAGAACCAGCCTATCAAAGAAAAACAGATAATTAACTACTATACGTTAAACAGTGCAGTGAATAAGATTGCAAAGCAAGTTGTTACGAAGTACATTAATATGGATGAGAGACAACAAAACCAAGCAATTCAACAGAGGAAATCAGTAAGAGAGAAGAGAAATCAGTACCTCCTTAAAAACAACACTCTGCAAAGACTGCACAAGCCAATCAGATCAAAAGAAATCAGTCCCTTTTTATACATCAAAATAAATAAATAAATAAATAAAAAAGAAAAAAGAAAAAAAAAAAAAAAAGAAGAAAGGAAGAGGGAATGGTGGAAGAATAATAATGGAAGGTGCATTGTTGAATAGAACATAACCGCACATGCGTATCCAAGAGATGAAAAGCTAATTCAGTAGCAGCCGAGGTTAATGTGGTAAGGAGAAGGGACCATCCATGGCATGTTAACAGTTTAATACTACAAGAAAATTATCCTCAACTATTTTTCAGCTTTTAATTGAACGATGATAAAATTAGAAAGATGGGGGAAAAAAACATAGCATAAACACCTATCCAAACAAACAGGTTACTGCCAGTTCAAGTTTTCACTAAAATTAAAGCAGAATTGCCATGCTCTTGGAATCTATGCTACCTAGAGTCAGATACATATATCAGGTACGGGTATGCATTAAGTGCCCGACCTCCCTAAGTCCCAAAATCTTAGGATGCATGAACTCAGCTTAAAATGTGTCAAAAACTTGGGTACGGGTACGTGGACACATCTTGCACTCTTAAAAATATAATATGCTACATAAGAGTGTAATATATGATAATATCATTCTTGAAAAATATAGTTAACAGTGCTAGCCCAGTACAAAAGGTGTCCACCACTGCGGGATCTAGGGATGGTAAGATGTACGCAGTCTTACCTCTGCATATGGAAAGGCTGTTTTTAGTTTCGAACCCGTGACCACCAAGTCACAATGAGCAACCTTGTCATTGCATTGAGGCCCACCCTCTTTAAAATATAGTTAATAACTGGAACTAAATGAAATATAGTGGGGAAAGAAAGAGAGATTTCATCTATCTCATAAGTCAGAAACCCTTTGCTATCAAATTTCAGTTTTTCTTCTTCTTCTTCTTCCATCACAAAAATTAATGGATCCAGGTGTCCGATTTGGATGTCGTATGTGTTTGGACACATTGTTGTCAGGGCTTTTTTGTTATTACTTATATAATGGTGGGGCTTATGTGCAATTTCTGAAACTTGTTATTATAAATAGAATGTGGTGGAAGGATGAAAGTATTTTTTCATTCCTTCTCTCTTTCTCCATCTCTCTCTCTCTTTCTCTTATCTGCTTTCTTCTCCTTTTCTTCTTCTTTATCACTTACTCTTGATTTGATTATATCTTAAAGTCAACATGGTATCAGAGAATGGTTTGTAAAGATCTAGGTGTGTAGTCGAAACCCTTGGGCAAGTTTGTGTAAACCCTAGTGGGTGTGAAGGGTTTTGAAGAGATTCCAAGATGGGATTTGTTTGCAAGGAAGTAGTGTTAATCACATCCACATGTACCGTGGATCCAACTCCGCGGTGAGTTGGCTGGGTGTCGCTGTTGTCAGGGGATTATTTGTTATTACTTATATAATGTTGGGGCTTATGTGTAATTTCTGAAACTTGTTATTATAAATAGAATGTGGTGGAAGGATGAAAGTATTCTTTCATTCTTTCTCTCTTTCCCCATCTCTCTCTCTTTTTCTCTAACCCGCTTTCTTCTCTTTTCCTTCTTCTTCTTTATCACTTACTCTTGATTTGATTACATCTTAAAGTCAACATGGTATTCGAGCATGGTTTGTAAAGCTCTAGGTGTGTAGTTGAAACCCTAGGGCAAGTTTGTGTAAACCCTAGTGGGTGTGAAGGGTTTTGAAGAGATTCCAAGATGGGATTTGTTTGCAAGAAAGTAATGTTAATCACATCCACATGTACCACGGATCCAACTCTGCAATGAGTTGGCTGGGGGTCGCAAGGGGCAGCGTGCCCCTGCTCGAGTTTTTTTGGACCTATTTTTTATCTATTGCAGTCTCAATTAGTGTTTTTTTTTTAGTTCGTGAGGTTCTACAACAATGGCTTTTTCTTCGACGTTCGTGATTCTGGTATGGTCTACTTTGTTGCTTTCTAGGGATTGTGTGGTGACTATGTAGTCACTTTTTTATGCATCTTAGAAGACGGAAATCTTTCTAGTTTAAGTTTGTGTGTTAGAGAGGTAGTTCTCTATGTATTTTGTTACTGCTTTTGTTTCTGTATACTGTGGAAAGATCTAGGCTGAATTGTTAGGAAATTAGTTAGGGAGGATTTTTAGGAATTATCCATAGTTAGATAGTTGGTGGCAAAGGGTTATACTCAAACAAATGGCATTGACAATCAGGGGATCTTTGCTCCAGTTGCGAAAATGAATACTATTCGGGCTCTGTTATCTTTAGCAGCTAACTTAGAGTGGACACTTCAACAGTTTGATGTTAAGAATGCTTTCCTCCATGGCAATCTAGAGGAGGAAGTGTACATGGACCTTCCTGCACGTAGTGATGAAAGTACCAATAAAGGGAAAGTATGCAAACTAAGAAAATCATTATATGGCATGAAACATTCTCCTATAGCATGGTTTGGTAGATTTGCACAAGCTATGCAGAAGTATGAATATCATCCTAGTCAAGCAGATCATACGTTATTCCTTCAGCACTCTCGAGGAGGTAGAATTACAGTTGTTATTGTCTATGTGGATGATATCACCATCACCAAGGATGATACCGAGGAGATTAGGAGACTAAAGGTACATTTGGCCAAGGAATTTGAAATTAAAGACTTGGGTGTCCTGCAGTATTTTCTAGGTATTAAAGTGGCTCGTTCAAAGCAGGAATTCTTTGTTTCATAGAGTAGGTATGTACTTGATCTTTTAACTGAGACAAGGATGTTATCCTGCAAGCCTGTGGATACTCGTATCGAACAGAATCATAGATTGGGTGAACAGACTGATGATACACCAGTTGACAGAGAGATATCAGAGGTTGGTTGGAAAACTAATATATTTGTCTCATACATGACCTGATATAGCCTATGCACTGAGTGTTGTCAGTCAGTTCATGCACGAGTCAAATGAAGTTCATATGCAGGCAGTAGAGAGGATACTTATACTTGAAATCAGCACCTGGTAAAGGTCTTTTGTTTTCAAAACATGATCACCCTGCAGTAGAGGCCTATACAGATGCTGATTGGGTAGGTTCTATTTCATATCGAAAATCAACTACAGAATATTGCACATTTGTGGGTGGCAATCTACTTACTTGGCAGAGCAAGAAGCAATCAATTGTGGCCAGGTCTAGTGCCGAAGCTGAATTCAGAGCTATGGCCCACGGTGTATGTGAATTATTATGGTTAAAGATCCTATTGGGAGAATTGAGGATTGCTTGTCAAAGTCCCATGAAGCTATATTGTGATAATAAGGCAGCCATCAGCATTGCTCATAATCCTGTGCAACATGATCGGACTAAACATGCTGAGATTGACAGGCACTTTATCAAAGAGAAGTTAACAGAAGGTGTGATTTGCACTCCCTATGTGAGGACCAAGGATGAACTTGCTGATATTTTGACTAAGGGAGTCTCTAGCAAAGCGTTTAATTCTGCTCTTGCCAAGCTGAGAATCCGAGACATCTATTCTCCAGCTTGAGGGGGAGTGTTGACATATATAGATAATTAGTTGTATTGTTAACTATATAACTGTTAACATATATGGATAATTAGCTATGCATGTGTTGATTATCATAGTTATAGGAGCTGATTTTTAGTCTTCAATTTCTTTCCTTCTTTGTAATTATTTGTGTACTATTTAAATCCTCAACAAGGAGAAGAATAAACACGGAGAATTATTCCTATTCCTTTATATCTAGAAAAATCTTCATATGCCACCGAGGTTTAAACTTGTCAATGGTCATAATTTAGTGTGCAAGGTAAATAAAGCCTTGTATGGGTTAAAGCAATCACCGCGTGCTTGGTTTGAGAGGTTCAACACTGCTACGAAAAGAGTAGGGTTCACATAGAGTCAGGCAGATCATCAAGAAGCACTGGGGTTGCACCACTGCCCTTATTGTATATGTCGATGATATTGTTATCACTAGAAATGTTCCAGAAGAGATTCGTCGAATGAAGTCATTTTTGGGAACAGAGTTCGAGGTTAAAGACCTCGGATCATTGAGATACTTTCTTGGCATCAAGGTGTGCAGATTGAAGAAAGGGGTGTTCATTTCTCAATGGAAGTACGTGTTAAATTTGCAGGCTGAAACAGGCTTAGAGCTAGACCTATTGATATTCCCATTGTGTAGAACCATTGGCTTAATGATGTAGATGGAGACCCTTTAGATGATGTAGGAAGAATTGAACGATTGGTTGGTAGACTGATTTACTTCTCTCACGTGCCCGAATATTGCCTACACTGTTAGTGTGATTAGTCAGTTTATGCATGCTCCACGTACACCTCAACTTGAGGCAACTCATCATGTTGTTCGCTACCTCAAGGGTGCACCTGGTAAGGGGATATTGTTTGGCAGTCATGGCCACTTGTGTGTTGAAGCCTATACTAATGCTAATTGGGCAGGGTCTATAACAAATCAACGATCTACTTTAGGATATTGCACATTTGTTAGAGGTAATCTTGTTTCATGGTGAAGAGGCTGAGTTCATATCCATGGCACACGGAGTTTGTGAGTTGTTGTGACTACGCATGATGTTTGGTGAGTTGGGTTATCCTGTTTGCAAGGCAATGAAACAAGGCTACTATTAGCATTGCCCACAATCCAGTTCAACATGACAGGACAAGCACATTAAAGTTGATCGGCACTTCATTAAGGAAAAGCTTCATCTTGGGATGATTTGTACTCCAAACATCAAAACACATGATCAGGTTGATCAGGTTGCTAATGTTTTGACTAAGGGTGTCAGCAAGACTTGCTTGCAAAATATGTTAGTCAAGCTGGGCATGATAGATATCTTTGCACCAGCTCGAGGGGGAGTGTTGTGAGGGGCTTATTTGTTATTACTTATATAATGGTGGGGCTTATGTGTAATTTCTGAAACTTGTTATTATAAATAGAATCCGGTGGAAGGATGAAAGTATTCTTTTATTCTTCCTCTCTTTCCCAATCTCTCTCTCTTTTTCTCTCATCTACTTTCTTCTCTTTTTCTTGTTCTTCTTTATCACTTACTCTTGATTTGATTATATGTTAAAGTCAACACACATATTCCACACTAATACTTATGATGTGTCGAGTAAGTTAAGGAGAATAGGAGAGTCCATGAAATCAAGCTTGGAATAGATTCAAATAATTAGAGCCAAAATAAATGAAACAGGGAAAAAGAACGGACATCTACCTAGCCTTTTTTGTAATATTTAGGTACCTTTATCATTTTATATACACAATAGATGGAACATGCATAGCCCAATAGATTCTGCATGTGACCCCTCCAGGTTCGAGAATAAGCAGCAGCTTCCTGAAAATGAGTACCGAACATAATGCAAGTTTCTCCGTAAAAAATTAAAGAAAAACAAGAAGAAAATAATATATAATGCAAAAGAAGAATTAAATAACCAATGGTAACAGTTAAACTGCGGTGCCTTGGACAACAGAAAGTTGTGATAGCTTGACATGATTGACTTTAACAAATTGATTAGGGAAAGTAGAGAAAGAAAAAACTATATAAACAAAAGACAAACCTTGGAGTTATGTTGCAAGAATGCCCTCCCAGGTAATTTAATAAAACATTTTGCATGGTTTGTACATAGTGCCAGTGGGGTGATAAATTCAGTATCCAAAAGTTAGTGACATTGATTTTCAATTCTATTTAGATAAGCAAGCAATTTTTGTTATAGTGTTACTAAAAAAACGTGCAAAGGACAGACAAGAAACACTTTTTGAGAAGAATAATGAAGGATAACCAAAACTCAACAAACACAAAGAGGAAAAAGACATCAATACTAACGAGACTAGACTTGAGTCAATTCCCTTGCAAGAACCTAGCAAGGCTAAAGTTTGTAAGTTTACATGTTGATTGTAGAAACACAACTCACAAGACATATATCTACTTGTGTAAATCCAGTGATAAGCTGTCGTGCCTTGGACAACAGAAAGTTGTGATAGCTTGAAATGATTGCCTTTAACAAATTGATTACGGAAAGTAGAGAAAGAAAAAACTATATAAACAAAAGATAAACCTTGGAGTTATGTTGCAAGAAGGCCCTTCCAGGTAATTTAATAAAACATTTTGCATGGTTTGTACATAGTGCCAGTGGGGTGACAAATTCAGCATTCAAAAGTTAGTGACATTGATTTTCAATTCTATTTAGATAAGCAAGCAATTTTTGTTATAGTGTTACTAAAAAAAGTGCAAAGGACGGACAAGAAACCCATTTCGAGAAGAATAATGAAGGATAACCAAAACTTAACAAACACAGAGGAAAAAAGACATCAATACAATGAGACTAGGCTGAAGTCAATTCCATTGCAATAACCTAGCAAGGATACAGTTTGTAAGTTTACATGTTGATTGTAGAAACACAACTCACAAGATATATATCTACTTATGTAAATCCAGTGATAATCCGGTCCATGTTGTCATTATATCTTTCAAATTGCAACATCAGGTTTTCATGATTCATATATAGAAATAATTCCTTAATTGTGACTAATATTACCAAGTGTCGTTAACATTTTGTCCAGTCAATCTCACCCATATAATGTTCCGGGGCATGTTTTCTCTTTGTCCAAAAAAGATCAGATGCATCTTTTCTATAGCCAATCCAAAACTTGGAGAAATGATTTCAGTAAGACAGATGGACAACTTAATATTGTAGTCAGACTTATATACTAAAATATGAAAAATATTCCATCTTTCTGAGGCGTCACCTAGATGTGCTGCACAATATCAATAGTCGGATTGAAATGAGAAGTACCCCTAATGAAAAACCTCTGAAATTATTTCAATATTGGACCTGGGACATATAAAAGTTCCGAATCGAATCTCTTTAGAAAGCCATACACTTCGCATGTTTCTAGTGATTCACATGGCACCATTAAATGATACAAGAAATGGATAAGATTCTACAACACACTAGAACACCCTTGTTGAAAATCCTTTACTCCAATAGCATCAATGGTTCCTTGAAGAATGTGATATCTCACAACTGATAATGCGATGACTGGGATTTTTATTTCCTTTTCCATTCATTTTTCTTCATATGCATTCATTTATGTGTGGTGTGTGGAGAGGTGCTTTGAGGACATGTTTGGTATTTACTTATTTGATGGGGGAGTGTGTACATATATGTAGATATTTTATCTTATGGCATATGTGACTGCACATATATATTATCTTTTCCTACATGGTATACTTGTAGTTGCACTTAGGGTAAGGGGTATACTAGTCTTTAGTACATAAAGTGGGTACTATATAGTTATGATGGAGAGAGAGAGCAGATTTCTGCTCTCCTTTTCTGGCTGCAGCTTCTTCTCCCCCTTTTCTTTTCATTTTCACTTTTATATCTAGTTTTCTAAGGCCTATACCATCACCTTCCACTTGGATTTTGGAGGAGCCATAGTTGGAGAAGTTGGAGAGCTCGACAAGAGGAGTATTCCTACGGTTTTACTATTCCATTTGGTGTATTTCTGCTTTGCTGGAAATTCTGGTTTTGTTTATACTTGAGGTAGGAGGTTTGTTATACCTTTAATCTATTGGTTCTTTGTATTTTATGACAATGAGGGTGTGTAAAGCTTGCTTGGTGAGTTTATATTATGATAGTATAGATATATTAAAGTGTGTATGTGATTGCATGAAAGTCACATGGCTGCAATGATGTATTTTATGTTTAAGAATGTAAGACGAATATATTAGCATGATTATATGCTGACGACATGAGGTACATGTAGGCAAATGTGTATCATTCTTCATGTGGTGCTCATGGTATGTTTGGTGTTGTGTTATTATGATAAATGTTGAGATAGTTGTTCATTTAAATTATGGAAAGCATGCCAGTAGGTTTAATGCACACCAAGTGTTTGATGAAACGTCTAAGTGAGGTCCTCTAAGTATATAAATTCTGTTTTGTATTGGAATTGATGTTGTTTGCGATGGAAGGCATGCCATGATAGTAGTGTGATACTAGGGCTTGACTTGTGTGGAACATTACTCACGTGTGCTTGTGAAGTGTTTAAAGTGGCATATGGTATGTGTATTACCTTGTGGATTATTTGTGATTTTTGGGATATACTTGGGTTATTGGGATATACTCGGGGATGGAAATCCCCACAAATTGGCCAATCGGTATGTCACCAGCGGGTTAGTAGCCTGAGAATGACAATTACAGCACGGGGCTTAAGCACGTGTTCAGGCAAGTGTGTGAGTCACGAGGAATCCCAGCTTGTCGATTTCAAACTCTATTTGTCAAGTTGATTATTTGGATTATGTTGTACAGTATTGTATGAGTTGTCACACGTGTACAGTTAGTATTGTATGAGTTGTCACCTACCCCTCATTACCATATATAGAATTACCATGTACAGGATTTTCTTGTTTTCCACTCACCTACTCCCCCGTAGCTTCTCCTATATAAACACCATTGTATTATTGTATTACTTAGTTAATAACGTATAAGTTTTCATATATTCTGTTTCTCTCTCTCTCTTTCAACATGGTATCAGAGCAAAAATCGATCCCTCTATAAATTTTTTTTTTAGTCTTATTCAGACTTCGATCTTGATTCCATCTCAGCTTTCTCTCAATCTCTTCTCGGCAATCTATCCTCGGCGATCTCAGTTCTCGTCTCAGCAATCTCTCTAGGATCCCTCCTCGGCTACCTCCTCGATAATTTCTCTTAGGTTCATCTCGGCTAGATCTTGGTTCTCTTATCTCGGCTCCCTCTCGCTACTATATCTCATTTGTTCGGCAACTCATGTGATGGATACTAAGGAATCCCGTCTTCTTGGGTCAATCACCAGCACCAAACTAGTAAAGTGTGAACGTGCAAATCAACCCCTCTCCACCGCTACTATCATTACTTCAGGTAATACGTGTCTCCATGCTTCATCTTCTACACCTTGGATCATTGATTCAGGGGCATCCAATCACATGACAGGTAACCCATCTCTTCTTTCTGATATTTCTCATGTTTTCTCACCATCGGTTGTTAATATAGCGAATGGTGCCAAATCACCTGTTCATGGAATTGGTACCTTCCGCACTTCGTGTCTCACTTTTTCATCAGTTTTATATATCCCTCAATTTTCATTCAATTTATTGTCAGTTTGCAAAATCATATCAGATTTAAATTGCTCAGTTACTTTTTCTCCTTCCCGTTGTGTCTTTTAGGATCTCAAGACGAAGAAGACGATTGGTGGGGGGTTTGAGAAGGATGGTCCTTACTACTTCCAGCTAGCTACTATTCCAACAGCTCTACATTCCACCTCTTCTTCAGATTACCAGTAGCATTGCCGCCTTGGGCATCCCTCTTCAAATAGTCTTCGAACCTTAGTCCATTCTTTAGGTGATTTTTCTAAGTTTAATTGTACTACTTGCAAACTTAGTAAACATCGTCGGGCTACTTTTAAGTCTCGTTTTGATAAAAGTTTAAAACCTTTTGAGTTAGTACATTCGGATGTTTGGGGACCAACTCGTATTGCTGGTTTATTTGGTGCTTGTTATTTTGTGTCATTTATTGATGATTATTCACGTTTAACTTGGGTTTATATTCTTAAAGATAGATCTCAAGTATTCTCTGTTTTTCAATCCTTTTATGCTGAAATTCAAAATCAGTTTGATGCAAAATTACTTGTTCTTAGAACTGACAATGCCCTTGAATATAAACTTAATGTAGTCGAGGGGCATTATCCATCAAACATCTTGTGTTGATACCCCTCAACAAAATGGAGTTGCTGAACGGAAGAATGGCCCACTTCTAGCTATCGCTCGTGCCTTAACAATTCAAATGCATGTTCCAAGACATTTTTGGGTAGATGCAATTCTAGTTGCTGCTTATCTTTTAAACCGCATGCCTTCTAAGGTCCTTTAAGGAAAATCACCCTTCCAAATGATGTTTTCTGACAAAAATCCTTTTTCCATTCCTCCAAAGGTGTTTAGGTGTGTCTATTTTGTTTATAATCTAAGCCTGGGATGAGACAAAGTTGATCCTCATGCTCACAAATGTATTTTCTTAGGTTATTCTTGCACTCAAAAGGGATATAAATGTTACAGTCCAACTCTTCGTAAACATTTTGTGTGTGCAGATGAACCTTTCTTCAAGAGTCTGTTCTTCCAACTCCAGTTTTTTATTCTGACATCCCACCAGCTCTTCATGTCTATGCTCGTCGCTGAAAAAGAGTAGTTAATCATGTTCCAACGACTGAAGTAGTAAACCCAGCCTTGCCACTTCCACCAGTCGCTTCAACACCTGGAGATTCTTCCATCTCTCCAAACTCTGATGTTGATCAACCTATTGTTGTTCGGAAAGGTAAACGGTCTTGTACCAATCACGCTATCTCTAATTTTGTATCGTATAATAAATTGTCCTCCTCCTATCTCTAATTTAAGAAAACGAAACGTGGTATTGTGATTCTTGTGGTGTATGTAGATGATATTGTTATCACCAGCAGTGACAAAGATGGTATACAAGTTCTAATCCATCACTTGAGTTCTAGCTTCCTTACTAAGGATTTGGGCAAACTTCGGTATTTTCTAGGAATTGAGGTGGCTCGGTCGAAGCAAGGCATTAGTCTTTCTCAGCGGAAGTATACTCTTGATCTATTACAGGATATTGGATATCTTGGTTTAAAACTTGTAGCTACACCCATGGAGACTAATGAAAAACTTAAGGTGGATGATGGTGACCCACTCGATGATCCAGAGATGTATTGGAGACTTGTAGGTAAACTTATTAACCTCACAATCACTCGTCCAGAAATATCATATGCAGTCAGTGTTGCGAGCCAGTTCATGATTAGTCCTCGGGTACCTCACATGGAGGCAGTTGTACGAATCTTGAAGTATCTCAAGGGTGCTCCAGGACGTGGTTTGCTTTATCGATCTTTTGGACATCTTCAGATTGAGGGATATAAAGACTCAGATTGGGCCAGTTCTCCTTTTGATCGACGGTCCACCACGGGTTACTGCACCTTCATAGGAGGAAATCTAATAACTTGGAGGAGTAAGAAACAGTCAGTTGTGGCTCGTTCCAGTGCTGAAGCAGAGTATCGTGCCATGGCACACACTGCCTGTGAACTTACTTGGTTGAAAACTTTTTTACAGGAACTTAGGATTTTAGTCCAGTATCCAATTCCTCTCCATTGTGACAATAAGGCAGCTATTCATGTTGCTAGCAATCTAGTCTACCATTAGAGGACTAAACACATTGAACTAGATTGCCATTTCATTCAATCTAAAGTTGACTCGAATGAGATTGTTACACCTTTTGTTCCTTCTGGTAGACAACTCCCAGACATCTTCACTAAGGCGCTTCCCAAGAACTCTATTGATTCCATATGTAGCAAGCTGGGAGTTATTGACATTTACTCTCCAGCGTGAGGGGGAGTGTTGTACAGTATTGTATGAGTTGTCACACGTGTACAGTTAGTATTGCATGAGTTGTCACCTACCCCTCATTACCATATATAGAATTCCCATGTATGGGGTAATCCAATTCTCCACTCACCTACTCGCGTAGCTTCTCCTATATAAACACCATTGTATTATTGAATTACTTACTTAATAACATATAAGTTTTCATATATTTTGTTTCTCTCTCTCTCTTTCAACAGATTATAATTGGAACTTGGTAGTATTCTTATATTTCATCATTTTGTATATGCCTACTTGTGATGGAATAGGTTCATTTCCTTGTTGAAAGCATGTTGATGTATGTGCTAGTCTAGGGATGATGCCTATCATGTTCTGGAACATAGACGTTAGGGAGCATGACCCCTTTTGCATTGCCTAGCATACTTTTGTGTTTGTAGGGTCCAAAGATTGTAGCTTATTTGTATACCATTCTTTCCTACTTGGCATATTTGCTCACGCCTTTATTTTTCATGAAAGGGACCTACTTTGGAGGACACACCTCATCCTTAGCTTGGTGTAGCTTGATGAAGTTTTTGGACGTTCTTTGATGATATTCATACTCATGGTAGTTGTAGCATTTTGTTAAACTTGAATCACATGTACGTGTGATGTACATTTTGTGTATGTGTAATTTTAAAGAGGCAAATGGCTTAAAAACTCAATGCCATCTTTTGGAGTTCCAACGCTATTTCCACTCTTTCTCATTTCATTTCATATGTGTTGTAAATTGATGTAATGAGGCCTGGTTGCTATCTACCATGAGCATGCATGCTGTTGTGTGAGTTTCTATTCAGTGTGATGGCTTAGTATTCATTCCAAAGTTGTACTCGTCATGCATGGACTAGTTTCAGGCTAATTGAACCTTCATGGTTAATCACGAAGACTGACTATTTCATGTTCACTTCCGCGTTTGGGGCTTGGATTAGAGCCGGTAATCTTTCCTTTCTCATGCACCATGTTTCCAGAATTCTGGGCGTGACAGATAATCTTTAACCCTTCCCCTCTTACTAAGTCTACAATATGTTCTTGTGAATTATGGCCAGTACCAAGTAAGCAGTGATTTCAAATCCTGAGGTGAATTGTACTTTGACAACAACACATAAGGCAGAGTTTGGTTATTTTTGGGTAATAGTGGAAAAGTTGACAAATAAGTCACCCTTACTGTCACTGTTCAGAAGCTTTACATTAAAATTTTTACCTTGTACAACTACTCATTCAATTCTTTTGAAGTCATTAGATCCTTTTTCTTGTTCGAGAATCTCCTCCCTTCTTTCACTTCGTCCCAAAGAGTAATTAGGACCAATTTAGTCACACTTTAATGTTCCAGTTGAGCACTTTCCATTTTTTATCATTCTCAAAGGAGAAGATTATTCTCGGCATTTTAGGAACCTAAGACTCTTGAACAATCTTTCCCATTCTACGGTTATGGATGGAAAGAAGAAATAAATGACCCGAATTTTAAGTATTCACTTCATCTTGTTAGGTATAGGTGATTTTCTTCTAGTATTGAAGGTTCTTTATTTGGGGGCATATACGATACCTGGGCTCCTGCAAGGGGGAATGTAAGAAAAAATTACCAACTTGACCCTCAGCCCAAGTATAATATTTGGTTATTTTCTAAAATCCCCTTTTAGAGGAGAAGGATGGATTGTTGGTGTGGACAATTTCGAAGATGTATTCAGTGGACGTGATTACATTTACTGGGTGGAATCTTGCATATCAGCTGGCAAAGAGAAATTGCATGGTCAATCTGAACTCCTTAGGATAAGGTTCTTAAAATAAATTGCTCTTTAAAGATGTGATAAATGATAGGAACATAGAATTTGATGTCTCTATTCAAATGAATTTTGACACATTGCTATATTAATCAATTAAAACTTCAACATATCACTGACAACAACCAAACAAAGAAGCATAACCTTTGGCATAACAATGACACGAGCCCGTAATAATTCTTGAAGAAATCAAAATATCAATTCATCTGACAATTCATTAACATGAAAATAAAGATATGTACAGAACTCATAGCTGCTGCAGCCCACAGAAAAGAAGATTACTGCAGAAGGTAGATTATTAAATTAGGAAAGTAGAATGGAGAACATTGATAAAATTAGACCTTGGCTTGGCGAAGTTCGTAAATTTCCAAGAATAGTTGCTTTGAGAGCTCTTCTAAAGCTTCAACCTCTGCTTCCATGCTTTTAATATCTTATGAGAAAAAGGAAGGTAACATTGAGAAAAACAATAGAGCAAGGGAGAATAAATTGCTAAACCAAGATTGAAATAAAATCCTTAGGAAGTAAGAACTACTGCCAGTATTGTTGAAAACAAAGTAAGAAAAGAAAGTTTTATATTAAATTGAGGATAGTCAAAAGACAAAAACTGCAAGTAGAAGAAATTATGGTTTGATATTGTTTACTTAATAATGAGTATAATTCCATGGCATCCAAAGTACATTAATATATAATTAACCACATTCTACAGTAATTAAACATTAAAGAAAATGTGTCCAACCACTTGGTTATTGCCTGGGTGGTATGATCTCTCCTACCCAAAGGGGAGATTGAAGGTTCGAGCCCCAAGTATGGCAATGCGTGGGTGGGTGTGCTTGCTTTACATTCCGGAAAAAGAAGGTACTCAAATCATTAATCATCCCAAATTTGAAGTTGCACAGAAGAACAATAAACTGTGGCAACTGGTTGTGCTTACCATGCTGGTTCTCATATTCAGATGAAATGTGTTGAAGGATTTATTTATTAAAGTTACACCCTCTCTAACAGTTCAAACTTTTGGAGTAGATGGTAGTTAACATGGTGTTAGAGCCAAAAAGGTATCGTGTTCAAACCTCACCGTCACCCTAATTAAAATTTGATAAACACATGTTGGACCAAAAAGAAGGCCACACGTGAGGGGACGTGTTGAAAAAAAAAATATTAAAGTTACACCCTCTCTAACAGCTTAAGCATTTGGAGTAGATGGTAGTTAACAAAATGGAAACAATATCACCTCTGATATTTTCCAAATGGAGGGGACAGGTTGTAGCTACCTCTGCTTATTACAGCACCTCTAGGATATACTCTCACCATGGGGAGAGTCAAATGCTTAAGCATGGTTCATTTAAATGGTTATCTTACATGAGTGGATGTCTTGTGTATGAGGAAGATGCAAAATTTGTGGACCACTAATTTCTTTAATGTTGACATGGGATTTCTTGGCTTTCCATATTCTCCATATTCAATGTTTGGTGGGAATCTGGTTAAGATCAAATTTGCTTTGGAGTTAGTGAATCATGGCTTGCAACAAAATACAAGTGTCATTTGGAATCGAGATCCTCATATTTTATTTTGGAAAGTAAAGAATAGAAGAATTTAATAATATTGATCTACCAATTCTATATTGAAGATTTAAAAGCCATTTTACTATTAAGTCTTCTGTCATCAGAAACCCTAGGAAAGGTAAATAGGTTTGTTTCCTTTGTTGGATTCACTGACCTTCCTTTATTTTTTATATTTTTTAGTGAGGCCTCAGCATGTCATCAATATCGAAACCCTTTATATCTAAAATTTGTAAACAATTGGAGTAATTTTTGCTTACGTCTAAAAAAACAGTATACGATCTTAGATAAAGTAAATCATGTAAATTGAAAAATCAATATCCATTACCACTCACAATGCCTTGTCCCAACTTTTTGAGCCCACTAAATCAATCCTGTTTCAAATATTTTATTATATCTAGGGTCATAATTTCAATTAAGTCACACGCTAGAATATCATTTACTTACTATTTCAATCGATGTTAACATTGTTCTTCCCATCCCTTAGTATCGCCTTCAATTTTAGCACATCATTCTCTCATTGGCGCAATTATTGGTCATGGCTATGTATGATTTTCTCTGATTGTATCTCCAATGACACTTCAACCATCTCACAAATGCTTTCCTTTTAGTTTTTATCTCTTCTCATTACTGTAGATCCATGTTAACACTTCAGCCACACTCATTTTATGAATATATTGTCTCTTAGTCATCTAACATTCTATCTCGTAAAGTATAACAGATCTAATAACTATTTTATAGGATTCACCTTTCAATTTTAGAGGTATATGTTGATCACAAGGTATGCTAGAAGCAATCCTCCATTTAACTCAACCTATTTTAGTTCTTTAAAAAAAAAAAAATTCATCTCCAACATCTCGCATTATTTAAAAGAAAGAATCATGAAAAACAAGCTTAAAAAGTTATCAAGAGTTTTCTAAACCTGACTTAAATTGCTAACCCTAAGTTGGATCTATTTACTAGGAATTTTTTTAGGTGTCTTTCGGATACGCCAAAGCCACCCTTTCCATGAAGAGCTATTTGGCATTAGAAGGCCGCTCTCAAAGTGGCGTTCTTTGCACCATTTTCAGAAAGATTTTGACCCGGGATAAGATTACAAGGAAGAGACAAATTGTGGTCAATTGGTGTTGCATGTGTAAGAGTGACGAGCAAACATTTGATCACCTTCGTTTGCATTGCCCAGTCACCATTTTGGGGAAGATTTTGACCCAGGATAAGCTTAAGAGGAGACAGATTGTGAACAATTGGTGTTGCATGTGTAAAAATGACGAGGAAACGGTTGATCACTGTCTTTTGCATCGCCCAATGGCTTGGGATTGCTGGTTTTTGTTGTTGGATTTGTTTGGGGTTCAGTGGGTTATGCCCAGGTCTTCCAGAGGCTTGGTTGAGGCTTGTAGAGGTGGTACAATGGGGGCCCAAGTTCGTGATTTCTGGAGGGTATGCCTTTGAGCGTCTCGTGGTGTTTATAGCTTGAAAGAAATAGGAGATCCTTAGAAAGAAAGGAGAATCCTATTGGGATGTTGAAGGTTAGTACCCTTTTTTATTGGGTTCCAGGGAGAAATTGTAAATCCATGGAGGAGCTTGAAGACCTTTTGGACTTGTTGAGAGTTTAGGGGCCCTATTTAGCCTTGCGTTGCTTTTGAGGGATGTGTTCCCCTTTTGAACACTTTTTATACAATCATTACTTTTCAAATATATATATATATATATCAAATAAACCTAACACAAGCCTTATATTGAAGTTTTGTCTAATTAGCAAGCTAAGCCAACACAAGAGGAAGCTTTACTCAATTGGGCTCAAAAGTGTAAAAGTAACTGGGACTATCGAGATCTCTTCAAAAAATATATATATATTTTATTTATCTATTAATTTATTTTTATTTTTTTACTTTTTGCTAATTTAAGGATATAAAAATATGGGCATTGGATGCTAAAAGGTACAAAATAAGAAAGCTACTATGGGTGCATAAGCAAAGAGCCCAAGTAAAATCAGCCAACTTTTAGATTATTAGTTTTTATTTGTCTAAAAACTGCCATGGTGCCACCTTTCACTTTTTTTTTTTTTAATTTACGTTTAAGTTCTAAACTTTCCTTCAATTAAAATGAAATAGGCGTCCATTAAAAGTCAAGCAATTTACCTTCCAAAACGAACTGAGCTTGGCATGCGAGTTGGCCTAGTTAGTGCCAAGCCTAGTTTCTTCGAAGTAAGCTCAAGTAGCATGATATTCAGCTTATCTTGGTTCTTCTAACCAACTAGGAGTGTTTCTACTTACCAATATTAAAAACATAGAATGTCAGTTCTTAGTTGAGCTACCTCTACTAGATGTCATATTTCAATGGAATTGACAGAAATGTTCAACGGAATCGAAAGAAAAGGTCATCGTACAAAAAGGACTTGGGTTGGAATTTGTTTATGTTTTTCAAAAGTTAGTTAATGGAGTTGCATGATTGAAGGACAAATTGGAGATTTCAAAGATTCAAAGAGGGTATAAATGTAAATTCAACTCTCAATTGCGCATTCTCCAAATTAGGGTCTCATATTCATGCATTCGCAACATTTTTCTTTTCTTTTCTTTTTTTTGGTAACGAAGAATCAACCCACCCGCAAGTCATTTTGGATTCTTGGATGGTTTACAAACCCCGGATGCACGCAATCACCCGCAAACCATGTTCATCACTGAAGCCCAAACCTCACCTTCGGTGAGACTCGAATCAGCAACTTAGGTGAGTATCCCCAAAGACCTTACCAGCTGAGCTACCTATGCAGGACTTAAAAACTTGTTTTCAATACATCAAATTGCATTTGAATTAAGAAAAAACCTAAAGGTCACAAGTGCAAGAGTTTGAGCGAAGATCATCCCTCACTGGACTAGGTTCTATTGATCAAACCTAAGTTAGATCAATCAAACACTGAAGAAGGCCATTAGCTCTGATCTGAGGGGGAGTCTTCCTTATCTTTACCTACTTTTCCAATGCCATTAGCTCCATCTTCTAGTTCTCCTCAATCTAATCCTCCCTTGCAGGTTTACCAGCGGTCACAATCTCGATATGTTGTTCCTTATGCTCCGGACACATCATCTTCTCAACCAGAGGTTCTTGTTCCTCCATCATCAACTTTTGCCACCGATGATTTACTAATTGCATTACGTCGAGGTAAACGTACTTGCACTCAGCATCCCATTGCTAATTTTATTTCTTATGATCGTGTTTCCTCCTCCTTGCAGTTTTTTGCCTTTACGTTGTCCTCTGTCTCTACCCCTTCATCATATAAGCAAACCTTATTCTTATCTATGTCTGGATGGAAACACGCTATGGATGAGGAAATGAGTGATCTTCACGAGAATCGGACTTGGGAACTTATTGTTCTCCCTTCTGGGAAATTAACTGTCGGCTTTTGTTGGGTTTACTCTGTTAAGTATCTTCCTGATGGTAGTGTTGAGCGTCTTAAGGCGTGTTTGGTTGCCAAAGGGTACACGCAGAACTATGGAGTTGATTACTCAGAGACATTTTCTCCTATAGCTCGTCTAAACTCTGTACAAGTTTTATTGTCAGTGGTTGTTTGTTGTTCTTGGCCTTTATATGATCTTGATATAAAGAATGTTTTTCTTCATGGGGACTTACAAGAGGAAGTTTACATGGATGAACCACCTGGTTATGCTGTTGCTGGTAGTGAGCACCTCGTTTGTCGCCTGCGCAAGGCTCTATACGGTCTGAAACAATCTCCCCATGCTTGGTTTGATAAATTCAGTGCTGTAGTGATTGAGTTTAGTTTTCAGCGCTCTACTTCTAATCATTCTGTGTTTGTTCGTCACTCTTCTGCTGGTACTATTGTTTTGATTGTTTACATTGACAATATCATTATATCTGGGAGTGA